ATCTTAAAGAAAGAACCTAGAATGAATATATGAATAAACAAAGATATTCAATGAAGTTATGCGTTTAACTTGAAAAACTGAAAACAATCTAAATATCAAAAGTTAAGGTTACTGGAAAGTAAATTATGGTTCATTCACATTAGAGTACAGTGCCATATGGAATTATTTATAAAGAGGTTTTGATGAAGAAAATACTCATGATAAAATATTAAGAAAAAAATCCCACAAAGATGTTTGATTTCGACTGTTCTAAAATTAGCTAAAAAAAGATTTGAAGTTAAAAAAAAAAAACATAACTACTAAAAGCATTTTTTGCTACATTTTCCATACTGGCATGTTTGTTTAATACATACATAGAACAATTGTGTCAGTTTCTATTATTCTTCATTATTACTATAAATTTGTATGGAGGTTCCTGAGCAATATAACAAATTTATTCTTTTTGTAAAAAGTTAAATAAACAATAAATCATCAGGAGATCTCTACTCATATCTGGGATGGCTCCTAAATTAATATGGGCAAATCACAAACTTTAGAATGGCTTTTTAGATAAGTATTGATGAAGTAAAACTAGAGTCTGAAGGCAAATAAAATATTCTTTTGGATTTTTCTTTTCTTGCCTTTACGTTTGATTTGCATACTGTTTCCATTATTGTATCACTGTATTTGTTCACAATTTAAAAAAACACTTTTAATTTAATTTCCTTATATCCCATTGTTGTTCTTCTATCTTCCCAAACTTAAGTGAAACATGAAAGCAGTAACTTTCAGCGTAGGTTAGTGAAGCATAAGTGAGGTGGGGCTACCGTCCAAATTTCTGGATTAGCCAGAGTCGGCCAGACAATCATGGTGGAATTCAGAACATACAAGTAAACAACTACTCCTTCACTGCATTTACGGCCAATCTTCTAAAGAGGCTACTGTGTTTTGGTGGCTCATCTTACTGATCTCTCATTTAGTCTACAAGTCTCTGCATGCAATAAGGCTCCTGCCTACTCCATTCCCATGAAAGCGTTCTGACAGAGAGTATCAATGATGTCAGTTGTTATTACACTGTTATTACTGGCTCCTCTTCTTCCACCCACTCCTTTAACACCTATGTGCCCCAGGGATTCATTGTGGTTCACCACTATTCTCCCTCTGTAGAATTCTCAAGGTTCTAACTACTCTCCGACCAAATACAAAACTCCAGATATTGCCCTAGAGCTTTAGACTCCATATCCAACTTCTACACAGACGACCCATTACTCACCTTAAACTCAATATGCCGAACACTAAACATGCCATCTTTGGTGGCTCCCCATTGTTTATAAAATTCAAGCCACCCCTTGATCTGGCTTCACCCTACTGCTTCAGCTCATCCTCTGCCATTCATATTCATTTTTCTGAAAGCCTGGTAAAACAAAATCACCACCTAGTATTTACTGAGGGCCCATTAAATACCAGGCATTATTTTAAGCACTTTATATGATTAACTCATTAATCTTCACAGCAATCCCATAAGGTAGATGCTATTCTTTTCATTTTATGCTAAGGAAAGTATCTTGCCTAAGCTACTAAATAGTAGAGTCAGTATACAAACCTACATCCTGTGCTCCTTACTTTTATACTATGCACTTTTTCATAAATGCCTATATACTGTCCAATGCCAAGCACTGTCCTGGGGATTCAAGGTAAATATGACAAAAAAGACCCACATCCTCATGGGACCCCTATTCTATGAAATAAATGGAATAAACAAACAAAAAAACATATTGTAGATTAAAAAATGCCCAGAAGAAAATAAAAAGGATTTTATAACAGAAAATTCACTGAGGTGGCCCTACTTAACGGTAATGAAAGAAAACCTCTCTGAAAAATGACTTTTAAGGTGAAACCTAAAGGATGAGAAGGTACCAACTATGTAAAGTGAAAGGGTATACCTGGACAAGAACTGGGCCCTTACAAAGCACAAAGATGGTACTATGGACTGAACGATGTTCTCCAAGTATTCATATACTGAAGCCCTAATCCCCAATGTGACTGTGTTTGGAGACAGAGCGTTTAAGAAGTAATTAAGATTAAATGAGGTCATAAGGATGGGCCCTAATCCAACAGGGCTGGTGTCCTTATAAGAAGAGGAAGAGACACTAGAGACTTCTCTCTCTCTGCAAGTGCACAAAGAAGAAAAGCCATGTGAGGACACAGTGAAAAGACACCCGTCTACAAGTGAGGAAGAGAGGCCTCACCAGAAACCAACCCTGATGGCACCCTGATATTGACTTCTAGCCTCCAGAACTGTGAGAAAATCAATTTCTGCTGTTTAAGTCATCCAATTTGTGGTATTTTGCTATGGCAGCAAAACCAAACAAATACAAATGGGAAAGACTGAGGTGTGTCATAGGAACTGACAAAAAATAGTGTGCTGGAATACAGAGAGCAATGGAGATAATAATATGTCAAAGACTCTTAAGTCCACAGACGGTAGATGAACCAGAAATAAAGTGATCGCAAAACCTGTCCCTGGTGCAGGAGTTTGAAGGTGGTTGATACTGAATTTGGAAATGTATGGTGTGGGTTTTTGTTCTCTCAGTGACTGGGAGTCACTAACATACAGTGGCTAGAATATAATAATCTATATTCCACCCTGGAATGCACAAAACAGCCCATACAGCAAAGAGCTGAACTCGTCCCAAAATGTTAATAGTGCCCTATTGAGGAACAGTGGCTAATAGTATGTTTGGTTTACTCAGGGGACTACAGAACACCAAGATTTAGCCTTTTTTGGTAGTTTTTACACCACTAAGGTTAGTTTTGAGCTAATTCTGGTGAATTAATAATTATGTGTTGTGCCTATGCACAAGGAATGGTGTTAGATACTCTGGGGCATACCCACAGGAATCGAACACCAATCCACAGTAAGGGAGATATGACACCACATTTCAGCAAATCTAAGGCACCGGTGGTTTTAAGATGCATCATTTTATGTACAACTAAAGAAGGTAATACCACCAAGTAAATTACAAAATCAACTGTAAGATACACCCTAATTTCAGAGCTGTTATGATGTTAAAAAAATATACATCTTAAATAAATGAAAAAGAATATGAAAACAAATAGCTAAAATGCAACTAGTAGGAATCATATAAAATAAAAGAGTCTACATCGGGAAGGAGTTTAGGTCTAGAGAAGAGATGTGAACATCATCTAAAAGGAGGTATTAAAAGCCATAATTTGGATAAAGGCCAAAAGGGAGGCAAGAGGAGGCACCATAAAGACAATTTTTTTAAGTAAACAGGTATTAAAGCATTTAACTGCTTTACTACAATTAACGGTTTTCATATTTTACAATAATTTCATGCTGATCTTCACCATCACTGCTAATTTTTTTTTTTTTTTTCGGTACGCGGGCCTCTCACTGTTGTGGCCTCTCCCGTTGCGGAGCACAGGCTCCGGATGCGCAGGCTCAGCGGCCATGGCTCATGGGCCCAGCCGCTCCGCGGCATGTGGGATCTTCCCAGACTGGGGCACGAACCCGTGTCCCCTGCATCGGCAGGCAGACTTTCAACCACTGCGCCACCAGGGAAGCCCATCACTGCTAATTTTAACACTACAAATTTGTAAACAAAAAAAAGCAAAACATAGTGAAGATTAAGAACATGCTCAAGATCGTAAAAAGCAATACAAAAAACAGATCATCCCATTCATTTCCAATATGGTGTCGAAACCACTTAGACATGCCACTGTGTGTGTGCGCGTCTGTTATGTAAACTTAGTCAAAAAGCAATGGTACACACATCTGAAAGCAGAACCTGAGAGCAACCAAGAAAGTATGATACAATTACATGCAGAATTAATATTTAAATTCCTAAGTGGTTTTATTATAAACATTCACAGTTACCAGTCAGAGCTATGAAAAACTGCAGTTATATCATAGTATCAAATTGTTTTCTCCTTAAAAAAATTTTTTTGAAGATAGTGGGAATATTTAAGTTCAATACTTTTAAATCAGTATTTTTTCAAGTTTTTTTTTTTTTTTTTTTTTGTGGTACTCAGGCCTCTCACTGTTGTAGCCTCTCCCGCTGCGGAGCACAGGCTCTGGACGCGCAGGCTCAGCAGCCATGGCTCACGGGTCCAGCCGCTCTGCGGCATGTGGGATCTTCCCGGACTGGGGCACGAACCCGTGTCCCCTGCATCGGCAGGCGGACTCTCAACAACTGTGCCACCAGGGAAGCCCCTTTTCAAGTATTTTTAAAGCATAAAGGCAATGTCATCTTTGTACATGAAAAAGTATGGTTGCAAGTCACGCATAGGATAAGAAAGAAGAAAATCTATAATTCTCTGGTATTAACACTTAAATGTGTTATAAATACACCAAATGATTTTAATTAAATTCTATTCATTTTGACTGAAATACCTTCTGACAAACTTCCCCCAAGAGTGGGAGGGTGAGGTTGGAGGGAGGAAAAAGGAGAAATGGAGGGAGGGAATCCCTCATGAAAAAGAGAATGAAAAAAGAGACAAGAGAAGGAGAGGAGAGGTGACTGATCTGAAGAAATAACTAGCTAACAGAGTAAAGATGGTGAAGACCATCACATTGCCCCAGAACAGATTTCCTGAGTAAAGAGAATGTTACAGCTTTTTGCTAGAAGCTGAGCATGATAAAGGCTCTTGAAAACCATACTGGCTATCTACCTTTACTACAGGGCAGGTACTTTTCTCAAAATACTTGCAAGTCAAAGGAACCTGATGGGGAACACGAAGACCACCCGTTAGCCAAAGCAAACAGCACACAATCTGCAATCTGTCTAAATGATTAGACAAACTGAGATGGCTGTTATCAAAGTGCATATTAACAGTTTGTCAAAACATGTTCTTGGGCTACTTTATGATTACTTTTACGTAAGCAAATTCCCTCAAAGGAAAAAAAATCCCAATAATTTTCTACAACTACATGTCATACAATAGAACTGTGGTTAAATTTACAAGTGGCAGGAAAAGTTTTGAAAAATGTGAAATACCTCAGTCTGACCTTCATGGGCACTGGTCTCATGAGTAACTCGAATGGCCTGTAATAAGAATATAAAGTATTAACAGGAACAAATGACTATATCCAACTTTTTAAATGAAAACAACGCTAAATTTTAACATCTAAAGCCTTGTTAAGAAACAAATTGGAGGAGATTTTTGGAACAGTTTAACACTGAATATTTAAGAATGATTTCTGAGTAAGCAAATGAATTGCTGTGCTTTCCAGCCCTCAAATCTCTGAAACTTTAGGAAACTGAGTATCTGCTTATTTGTAATTGCCAGGGGTAAGTGGGAGTCATTTACCTTATTTAATTGCTGGAACTAACATTTAACACTTTATTCAACTGAGACTAGAATAAAGTAAGCATCTCACAGATAAAGACTGAAGAAGCTTAGCTCATCTGCTTCTCCAGGTTACATGCTATTCTGCAGCTCTGGCTGTATTTATGCTTAATCATGCAGCTTCAGTCAGCACTTTAGAAATGTGGAGCAAAAGGCATGCATTTAAGAGAAGCTAGAGATTTTAGGTTCCTGAACTTAAAAAAAAAAAAAATGCTCTTATAATAGGCACTATTAACAAAGATGAAGAGAAACAGTCAAAGTAAACTACGGGTGAAAGTACCTTTATGAATGGCAATTTGGCAATAAGTATCAAAGCTTTAAAAACATGCAAACTATTTCGTCCAGCAATTTCTCTTCTAGGAGTTTATATATTTACATATAACTGTACATAATTATATATCACTAATGATACTTGCAAAGACTTAGCTACAATGATATACCTTGTAGTATTTTTTCAAATGGTGAAAAAAAGGGAAAAACATTAAATTTCTGACAATAATTTATTGGTTAAATAAAATACTACACTATGGAAAGCTAGGCAGCCATTAAATGATGTCAAATATATACTTACTGGTATGTAATATGTTTGTGATAAGTTACGTGAAAAAAGCAAGTTATAAAACAATATTACAGTGTGATCAAATTTTTGTTTTAAAATATTGTGCATACAATTATATATTCCCTATTAAAAATATAAATGGTGGCTACCTCTCATTGGTGGGATTACTGGTGACTTTTATGTTGTTCATTTTATTTTTACGTAAAATAAAGACGTTTTATGAGATCAGCAGGTTTTTTAAAGAAAATACAACTTAAAATAATCAAAGTATATTAGAATGCTAAAACAACATAATCAAGTCAATGGATTTATTGGGCACAAACTCTGCCTAACACATTGTTCTAGCCAAATAATTTGTACACTATACTGTTTCTAATTTCAAAGAACTTACAATCTACTTAATAATGTCATTAAAAGGTAAAAAGCCTTCAAAAGAAAAATAGATTTCAAATAGAATAAAATGTAAATTCCAATCTAAATTCTATGAAAAGGTACAATCATTTAAAACGTCTTAAGACTATGTGGCCTGTGTCCTCACACATGCAAAAATATTACACTGATAAAATAGCTAGAGAATATTCTAACATCTACCTTTAAACCTTTGCTTTTTCCATTGGTCTTCAGCCTTGTTCCAAATTCCCAGTGAAAGACACACAGGGTATTGCCAAGCATATATTTATTATAGGGAGGGAATGGTAAGGAACAGTCAATCATAAGATATTTTATAAATTGTTAAATCAAATTGCCTTTTTTCTCTCATTCAGCTCTGGACATAGAAAAGAAGTGGCAATTTATCAACATTTATGGATATTTCAGATAATGTTACAAAAGTACAAGAGGCCTGTTTTAATGGATACAACAAAAATCCATAATTGCATAATATATGGTTTCAAGACAAACCCCCCAAAAGAATCTACAATCCCAGAGAATTTTGCCCACACATGAGATCAAGACAGAAAAAGGTACCGACGTCATAGTTCTCCAGGTATCTGGCTCGTTCTTCAGGGCTCATTGATGCAGACTCCTCCAGGAATTTTTTCAAGGTTGATCCAGATTCTGAGAATATTAAAGATGATAAAATTGAAAAGGCTTGCTATCTCAAAGAGACTGAGATATGAAAATACTAGAAGCATGCTAACTATTTCTCAGGTAAAACCCTTTTACTGGTAAGTTAGGAATATAAGAATATTGGGATAAATGATAGGGCTTAAGTTATTTGTTTGTTAAACCTGGGGAGGATTAATATTTCCCCTAACAGTATATACATTCCCATTATAAAAGAAAGAAGGGAGGAAAAGCTTTATTTGATACGTCGAAAGAAAGAACTAGAACACCACCTACTGCTCAGTAAGTTAACTTATAACTTAAGCAGGAGGAAGATAGCAGTAATGAAAAATTATTTACCAAAGTGCATCTTGTCTTTATTGTTGGCAATAGCATGGATTAGTCCAATTGTTCCACAGGCATTGCTGATGGTTTGCTTCATGAAATATACTGATGATGTAACATCTTGTCCCTGAGATTTTATTTTTTCCTCTTCTTCTGTTCTGAATATTTCATACTATCAAAAAAAAATCAATAGTCTACATGTGAAAATAATATATTAAAAAGGACTTAAATATAAATATGGAAAAACTCTAAATATACATCAATGGGAATTTGGTTAACATGGCATATGTGAATGCAATACTACAAAACATTTTAAAAAGAATAAAAGATTTACATATTCTGACTTAGAAATCTGTCCATGATTATAGAGTGGTTACAGGCCAGTATATATTAATATGATTCTCATTTATGTTTTAAAAATATTTCCTTTGTATATGCATTGAAAAGTGTTAAAAGATATAGAAAAACTTAACAGATAAGAGATAAGAGATCTGGGATAAGAGATTACTAGAGGATTTTTACTTTCTATTTTTCACATTTCTATACTGTTACATCATATTATATTAACAAAATTCACACTATATTTATAAGTATATGGTATTCATAACATTCACCATTATCTATAACAACTGATTGTAAAAACAATATGGTACAATAATGTCAAAAGTGTGGGCTCTACATCTGATTGCCTTAACCCACAACCTGGCTCTGCCATTATTAGCTGTGCAACTCCAACAAGTTACTTAATGTCTCTGTGCCTCATTTTTCCAATTGTAAAAAGCATTAAAAATAATGAGGTTAAAAAATGGGTGGGGAGAGAAATTAACACAACATTGTAAATCAACTATACCTGAATAAAATAAATATTTAAAAAACTGAGTGAGGATGGGGACTTCCCTGGTGGTCCAGTGGGTAAGACTCCGTGCTCCCAATGCAGGGGGCCCAGGTTCGATCCCTGGTCAAGGAACTAGATCCCGCATGCCACAACTAAGAGCCTATGCGGCCAAAATAAATAAATTATTTAATTAAATAAATTTAAAAACAAAAGTGAGGAGAAGGAAGAGAGTAGGAAGATGATTTTATTGTTTTCCTATAATTTTCAGATTCCAATAGAGTAGGGAGCCCTACTACAGCCCACAGGCTACAGGCCAAACCTGGCCCACTGCCTGGTTTCGTAAGTAAAGTTTTATTTTTGTATTGTCTATGGCTGTTTTCATACTAAAAGGCAAAGTTGAATAGTTATAATAGAGACTATCAGGCCTGCAAAGTTGAAAATATTTGCTAGCTGACCCTTCACAGAAAAAGTCTGCTGACCCCTGTGATAAAAGAAACAAATGATGTCTATTTAAAACCCATAATTAAGGAACTGCTTTTAACAACAAACGTAGCTGTGCCTGAAAAAATAATTTTTATAAATGTGCTCCTAAATCAAATTTTTATTTTTTTAATTTTTTACTATTTTTTATTAGAGTATAGTTGATTTACAATGTTGTGTTAGTTTCTGCTGTACAGCAAAGTGAACCAGTTATACATATACATATATCCAAAATCAAATTTGTAAATATTTTCAGAATAAATTCTGAACCATTAATTCATTCATATAAGTTCAACTGATAAAAACTGAAAAGTTCAATGCAGTAAGGTCTTGAGCTGAAATGTTTTGTACAGTCCTAGAGTTTAGTTTGTTATTGTTGTTGCTTAACATCAATGTTCCTTGGTGACAAAGCAAAAGAGTTTGAAGTTATCAAAAACTTACCATAAAGTCATCAAAAAGTTTGATAACTTCTCAAGATTTAAGGTTTAGAAAAAAAATCCTAAAATGATTCAGAGCAAGTATAGGAAAAAGGAAAGTGACTGTGTTTTCACTGTGGTCTGCTATAATTAAAGACAACAAAAATATCAGAGAGAAATAAATTAATAGCGTAAAGCACATTTAAAACACTGTAACTGACTTTATTTAAAAGATAATGATGTATCCATAACAATTCTTTTGCTATTAGTATGCTGAAGCCATTCACAACTACATAATCAGTTTCTAAATTAGAACTTAGAAGATTGAAACACTTCATATTTCCTAAACCATCCACTAGATATCCTTTGAGTGATTTTTATTATGTCACTTATGAGCTGAAATAGGGACCGACCAAATTGTAAGAGATATCAGAAAGTGGCAGATGCCACTATATTTTCTACTTATATAAGTATAAATACTCATTCCTCACATCTTCCCATTTACTTCATTTTTTACAATGTGGAGTTCATCCTATTATTTCTAAGTTTAAAAATAAAAATCAGAAAGATATAGACTCAAAACTGTTTTAAAATGGCTCCATAATGCACATAGCTATAAGATATCATTCTAGAAGGCCTGAAATATGGAGATTTGAATTTAGATACAGAGAACTAAGAATAGCTGTTTATAATCCCCAACATATCCTAAATCTGCCAATTAAATTGTATTTAAGCTTAACGATTCGCACCCAAATCAAGTTTATTCTGAAAATAATGTAACCCATGTCATTAGTTACATCTACCTCCTTAAAACAAAGATTTCTTTACTTATATATTGAAAACATTTACATATTTTATATATTAAAATTTTGAATATTCTTTATTCATATATTTTCTAAGACAGATTTAAGAATATCCTAGTACTTAACAATTCTAAAGTATACACATGAAATTGTGATTAAATGTCACATCAAAACAGTTGAGACAAACTAACCATATTTTATAAAAAAAAAAAAGAAAACTACCAGAGTTTAAAAGACTCAGGGCTTCTCTGTCAATCTACAAATCAAAATCTAAATACATCTCTTTAATAAAACTAGATTTTTAGGATGTCCCCACTGTCTAGATTTCCTCATTTTATGCAAGAAGGGAGTCATCTGTTCTTAATTCATAGGTTTAATTCAACAGCATAGGTTTAATTCAACATTGAAAGAGAATTCTGCATTTACTGGAAACTATATCTTACTTAACAATTACCTTTTCTGTAATAGGGAAGAGAAGCAACACTGCACACACTGGTCTTGGTACCATGCTAAGGAGTTCAGGGTCCATTCCATATACATCAACAAACTGCCAGTTAGGATGTAGACCTAATTGTTTGAGAAACTGGTAAAAAGGGGAAAAAAACCAGTTTAGTGTTAACAGGGAAATAATGTGTATATACTGTATATCTGATACATAAAAGGGAATGGAAGGTACAAATATTACTGATGTTCAATAAGAATGAAGTAAAGCAGGTCTTCCATGAATAAGGTAGGAAGAGATAGCAATTTATTTAAATCAGTTAACAAACATTTAAAATTTACAACATATTAAGCAAAACTCCGTTTTTCAAAATCCATTACTTTGGGATTGAACATAGTAAGTCAGGACTTCACCGAACACATACAAGTGGCTTGATTGGTATCTTAAACTCATTCCCAACATTGGATTTTTAAGGAAATGCATCTAAGTTCTAGTACATAAAGAATTATTTTGGTAGTAAATCAGCATAGTCTATCCTAATTATCAAAAATGATGACTGAGGTTTAAAGATAGATGATAGGTTGATATCACAAGTTTTATCAATGAACAAAGAGTGTATAAGGTCAAAAAAGTCCAAGCAACTTGTGGGAACACCAGGAAATGCTTGATATAAAAAGTAACCTGGGACTTCCCTGGTGGTCCAGGGGGTAAGACTCTGCGCTCCCAATGCAGGGGGCCCGGTTCAATCCCTGATCAGGGAACTAGATCCCGCACGCATGCCGCAACTAAGAGTCCACATGCTGCAGCTAAGTCCAGGTGCAGCCAAAATAAATAAATAATAAATAAATAAATATTTTTAAAAATAATTATATAAAAAATAAAGTAACCTGCTTGGCTTCCTGACTTTCAGTACACAATGAAACCTACTCAGCTTCACTGTCTCCCCTACATCTAGCAAAAAAAAAAAACTGTAACAAAAGAGCAGTGGTTTTTTCAAACTCTTAAGAATTCATAGGGAAATAAAATATCAGACCCTAATCTATTGCAGAGAGAAAAGGAAAAAAGAACATAATAATAAGAATGATGTCAATTTCACAATAAACTCAATAAATGCCTGTACTGAAGGAAATTGATGGTTTTAAAAAGTTCACCATCACAAAATAAATTTTACATGATAGAAATAATAAAGGAGTAGAGGAAACAAAAAACATACTAAAAATGCATCATTATACCTTACTTTGAGAATACATTATAGTATCTACTGGTCTAACATTATCTTTAAGTTGTTTTTTTGTTGTTGTTGTTTGTTTTTTTGTTTGTTTGTTTTTTTGTGGTACGCGGGCCTCTCACTGTTGTGGCCTCTCCCGTTGCGGAGCACAGGCTCCGGACGCGCAGGCTCAGCGGCCACGGTTCACGGGCCCAGCCGCTCCGCGGCATATGGGATCCTCCCGGACCGGGGCACGAACCCGTGTCCGCTGCATCGGCAGGCGGACTCTCAACCACCGCGCCACCAGGGAAGCTCCAACATTAACTGAGATTTAAAAATAAAAAGGTGCCTTGGGTATTTCTCCCTGAAGAACGATCACACATACTTAGATCATCAAATGAGATCTTGCAAAACCAATGGAAGCCATGCCCTATTACATAAACAGTGTTATTCATCTCACAGTCAGGTTCTACAAGACAAGACATTCCTGATTAAAGGACCACTCTCCACATCCCTCCAATTCTCTGCCTGTAGAAAAAACGCTACTTACTGATAGTATGGTTGGTCAAAAATAAGGTCTTAGATACATTTAATAAGAAATACTCTGAATTAAAAAACTTATCTTGGCAGAATGTGCTCAACATCCATAGATTCATCAAGTCACATGCTCTGCAACAGTCTGGGGCCACAGAAATCAATGGCCTTCTCTAGTTAATACCTATTTTTCATCTGATTCCTATTAATGATTCCAGACTTTAATAAAGTTCAATGAAGTATTTCAAACTACTTCCCTCTCCCTTCTCCACTTTCTCTGAAATTCTTAGTCTATGCCCTCCTCAATATTCAATTCTATCTAGAAACTAAAAAAGGACTAAAACTGACTGCAAAGCCAAAGGAAGGAACTGTGTCTTATTCATCTTTTTAATCCCACTGCCTAGCACTGTACTGGCCAAACCATAGACACTCAAGTTCTATTTGCTGAACTTGCAAGAAATTTGTTGAAGATTGTATCTCTATCTTAATAGATAATCTAGCCATCTGTATGTCTACACATGTCTGTTAAGCTATGTTTATAATGAATATTTTACATATACTTTTTATTTGTGCCAAGTTAAAGAGGTAGGAAAGATACATTTGGCTTCTAATCTAAAACCAGGCATTTATCAGCTCCATATACTCCAAATACTACCTGCACAGGACTGACAGCTCTAAAAGGCATACTGTCAAGGAAAAGTATCATAAACCCTGATAAAAGAATTTAAATTTATTTGTTAATATTATGTACCCCCAATAGCCATATTGCTATAAAGTTATAAAACAAGAGGTACATGTAACAGAGTAATTTTTACATCTGTGCTGCAAACTGAAAGTAACAGTTAAACATCTTAGTGAAAAAACAGTCTGGAGGAAACTGGCAGATTACCTTGAAGTTGTAAACTTGTTCCATGTCAGCCAAAGCTAAAGAGTATAAAAATTACCAAGCTCCAAAGCAGTTGTAGCAAGAGTGATTAGTATCAAACTGAGAACACATCAATGATTAAATAGAAGATTAAATTAAATATAAAAAAATGATTAAAATTTAACTGGAATCATACTTTTCCTCAACTTTTTACTCATATAGCCAATCAAATAAGATTGATAAAAAGACATTCAATTTAACTAATATCTATTAAGTACACCGATGCAACCTCTGACTCCAGATTGTTATGGGTCAGACTCACACAGGAAGTCATCATATGCATAGAAAGAATAAAAGAGGCTATGCCTAGTAACTACCTCTGGGCTTCGGAGAAAAGGTGAGGAAGAAAGTCTCCAACTTTTACCTCTCACTTTTTTTTAAATAACGAAGGTATCCTACTTTTATAATTAAAGGAAAAAGAAGAACCTACGTGCATTTGTGATGATCATAGTCAAATAGAGAAAGATTAAAAAGAAATTCTCTAAAATATTAAATATTAATAGTTAGCTTGGATGGTATGGAACTCAACTTTTTATCTTCCAGTGTTTTTAAAAAGTGTTATTTTTACAATAGATGTAGTTTCAAAGATACAAATCTACAGAACTGATATGCATGTATTTTCTTTAAATTTACAAAACTGGGATAAAACATAATGCCAGTTTTAAAACTATTCCCAAAAAATCTCTCCAGCTTACAAAGAAAAGTATTCTATATAGTACAGGCACTTGCAAAGCCTTCTCTACACAATTAGAAGCATTCTGTTTGCACCAAATATAATAAAGGGATTTATAACCTTTAATATCTGTCTTCAGGCTTTTTTAAACATTGGGTAATAAACTAACAAAAAATTCTGACTGACTAGCTCACTAAATTTTTATAATGCCACACTAACGTTTGGCCTATCAAGAAAAACAATTAGTAAATTAGAATATGTGCCCAAAAAAGATCCTTGGTTAACTTATCCTTTTCAATGGTCCAAAGAGAAAATTTCCACCAGATACAGAATATTTTAATTTATTTGTAAATATTTAAAAATAGTATCTTGTATCAGAAACTATGCTAGGAACTTTAATGCACTTCACCTTTACTGCAAAGGAGGTTTTATTATTACATCCTTTCACCAGTGAGAAAACTGAGCCTGGGAGGTTCTGTGACTTTTCAAGGTCATGCTGCCAGAACCCACATGCAAAGCTCTGGATGTTCTGGTGCTTATTTACTTGTCTCTCACTGCTTAAAGTAGCTTTTTGTACTTTGTTCTCTAATTTTAGCCACAATGAACTCTTCAAGTTCTCAAAGGGTCGATAACCATCACTTACCTTGCTATTGCACACAAACTGGACTTATATCTGAAAAAATGTTAGCCTCTCCCCCTCATTTTTAAAAATTTATTTATTTATTTATTTATTTATGGCTGTGTTGGGTCTTCGTTTCTGTGTGAGGGCTTTCTCCAGTTGTGGCAAGCAGGGGCCACTCTTCATTGCGGTGCGCGGGCCTCTCACTATCGTGGCCTCTCTTGTTGCGGAGCACAGGCTCCAGACATGCAGGCTCAGTAGTTGTGGCTCACGGGCCTAGCTGATCTGCGGCATGTAGGATCTTCCCAGACCAGGGCTCGAACCCGTGTCCCCTGCATTAGCAGGCAGACTCTCAACCACTGCGCCACCAGGGAAGCCCTCCCCCTCATTTTTAATGAATTCCTCCTCATTCTTTAGGTGATAGTCAAGTAACAAAAACTCTGATTACATAAATATATATAAAAAAAAGAAAAATTAAATCTACCTTCCTTTCAAATTTGTTCTTAAGTCACTTGCTCTGGTCTTTAATGGCCAGCTCAGGACAGCAATAGATTCTGCCTTGTTACTAATTTACTAATGATTTGGGTTATGACAGAAATTATACTTATCTAATAAATGCTTGATATCACTACTAGTAAAAGTATACTAGTAGTAACTGCTAGATGCAGAACTAGGAAAATAACTAATAGTTAAATGAGAAAACAATGGTTTTTAAACTCTGGAAACCAGCCAAATGAATTTTAATAGCTATTTAGTAAACAAACAAAAATGAAATTACTTAAGTACAGAATGGGGAAATACTAAAAACATTTTATGTAGGGACCAAGTAAAAAAGTTTACTTTACTGCAGGCTCAATATGGACTACACAATTGTCAATGTAAGTGATGCAATGCTGATCTGCTTTAAAAGTTGTATTACTCAGGACAATTTAGTAACACACTATTTCAACACAGATTATTCAGAGTGGAATATGATATCAGCTCTGGCAGGCCTATTTTATGAAGGATGACAACAAACAATCAGGCTCAAAGAAAGGTCACCAGGAATGATAAGGTTTTGGAAGACATCACAGCTGGAGAATCTGGGCATGTTCGAAGAAAACTTAAATTATTATAATCCTTTTCCCCCAATATTTCTAGTAATATCATGAAGAAGCAATTAGATTTACTCTGTATGGTTTCA